ATGTGGCCCATACATCAACCATTGTGATCGGTTCCCCCTTCTCTCTCTCTCTCTCACACACACACACACACACACACTCGGATGTGGCCCATACATCAACCATTGTGATCGGTTCCCCCTTATCTCTCTCACACACACATATACCGGGATGGGGCTCTTTAACACACACACCCACACACCACACACACATCTGCCTTTACCCTCCTAGTATTGCTGCTCCCGTTATTGGTCCTGAGGGTTTTATCTGCTCAGACAGAAGTAGAAGGGGCAGCTGGTGGTTTTAAACTTCTGACTTGGAGGTTAGCAGACCAATGCGTAAGCTCCTGACTTATATTCCACTATAATTCAAACAAGAATGTAAGCTCCAAAAGGGTAGGGATTTCTGTCTGCTCCTAGAAAGAGCTTATAGTCACAGGGCCAGAGTCCATTCCAACTCGTAGCACATTATGTTGTTATGTGCTGCCGAGTCCGTTTGGACTCACAGCCACCCTATACACAACACAACAAAATACAGCCTGTCAATCCTGTGTCATCCTCCTAACTGTTCCTGTTTGAGCTCAGTGTTACAGCCACTGTGCCAATCTGTCTTCTTCTTTCTGTGTCTTTCTCTTTTCCGTTATCCTACTTGACCAATTGTGATGTCTTTTTTCAGGGGCTAGTCTTTCTATATAACATATCCAAAGCACGTGAGACAAAGTCTCATCATTCTTGCCTTGGCAGAATATTCTGGTTAGACTTCTTCCAAGGTATATTTGTTTGTTCTTTTAACAATCAACCATACTTTCAAATAATCTTCTCTAGCACCATAATTAGTACGCAATGATTATCCCTCATTCTTCCTTATTCAATGTCCAACGTTCACATGCATGTGAGGCAATGTAAAATACTATGGATTGTGTCAGGTAGTTTAGTCTTAAAAGTAACACCCTCGATGTTCAACACTTTAAAGAGGTCTTGTGCAGCAGATTTACCTAATGCACCTCATCTTTTAATTTCATGACTGCTGCTTCCATGAGCATTGAATGTGGATCCAAGGAAGATAAAGTCCTTGACAACTTCAACCTTTTCTCTAATTATCAGATTACATAGTGCTCGCATTATGAGGATTTTGTTCTTCTTTACATTGAGTTGTAATCCACATTAAATTACAAGGCTACAATCCTTGATCGTCATCAGCATCACTTTCAGCAAGCAACTGTGTCACCTGAGTACCACAAGTTGTTAAAAAGGCTTCTTCCATCCTGACGCCACATTCTTTTATCGCCCCAACAATTTTATTGCCAAAATGCACTCATCACACAATTCACTAGATCTATTACACATCAAGAAAATTTGTACACTCATCACTAGAATCAGTTTTAGGACTTTTCTTCATTCTTGTACTCATTAGCTAATTTCCCCCCCAAGCCCCTCTCCCATACCCCCAAGGAATCATTAGCCCAGTTACTATCTCTGTAGATTTACTTATCCTGAATTTCATATACAGAAAAATATTTAAAAAACAAACAAACTAACAAGAATAACAAAGTAAAACAGATTAAACACCAATTGAAAAGAAAGCAGAAAAAAATTAAAAACCAGAACAAGCTTAAAAGGATCCTAAGGATGATCAAATTATGGGGTGCTAAATTTAACCCGACTGCATCTGCAACAATCCATTTCCCAATGCAGTCTGCACGTTAGTGAGACTATTCATATCCCTGGTTCATAGAAAGGGTTCGGCAGGGGCACAAATCCACCCACGCTCCCGCTGCCTCTTTTTAAAACTGAAACAGCTTTAAAATGGGAGCTCAAATGCTAAGATATTACATGTTGACCCCAATCTAACTACGTCTGACAAAATTGACTTTAGAATGCTCTGATAACAGAGCTATTCACATCCCTCAACTATGATCAGAGGGGAGTTCATAGGGAGCTAATTAAGGTGACCAGACGTCCCGCTTTTGGCGGGACAGTCCCGATATTTGGAGTCTTAAAAAAGTCCCGATTTTTGGAAAGAACGCACCACAAGCTAGGGAACGGTCTATCTGGTCCATATAGACCAAATTTTTAATCAAGAACCCACCGCCCTCTTCCCCAGTCAATGGTGTCCCGCTTTAAATCTGGTCACCTTAAGCTAAATCCATGTGTGGACCCTGCAAGTGGATTTTGAGCTTCCACTATCATGCATAGCCTTCTGCAAGCCACGTGTTCACAATTAAAAGCTCTGATGTCATTCGATCATTTACATTTGGATGATATTATTTACAGCCTTTGGATCACACAGTATGGTGTACTTCTTTCTTGTGGACTTATTTGACGCCTCACTTGGATGGCTGCTTGTTTGAAAACAAGCCTTTAAGACCCCCAGATACTATTATTTCGATAGCTGAGCACCATCTAGTTTCTTCACCACACTTTCCGATAACACCCATATCTTCACTGATCTCTTCATGGGGTCAAGCTGATGCCATATTTTTCATATAACCTAGCTTCTCTGATTATTTGCTCAGGATACATATTGAATAAATATAAAAAGATACAATCCTGATGCATACCTTTCCTGATATCAAACCATGCACTATTTCCTTGTTTTGTTTGCACAAATGCTTCTTGATCCACGTACCAGTTCCACATGAACACTATCAAATGTTACAGAATCCTCATGCTTCTTATGGCTATCCAGTTTGTTGTGATATAAACAGTCCAATGCCTTGGCATCTCAATAAAGCATAAACAAACAACTTTCTGGTGTTCTCTCCTCTCAGTCAAGATCCATCCATCCATCAAGATTCAGCAATGACATCCCTTGTTCTGCATCATCTTCTGGACCCATTCAGAACCTCTGGCAATGTACTGCTGTAACCACTGTTAAATGATCTTCAGCAAAAATTTATTTGCATGTGCTGTCATTGATACTGTTCTACAATTTGTGTATTGTTAGGTCATCTATCTTTTGAATGGGTATAAATATGTATCTTTCAGTCAGCTGGACAAGTAGATGTCTTCCAAATATCTTAGCCTAACACTTGAGTGAATAAATTTATACTATGTAACTATGTATAAGGAGTTAAATAGTGGAAGTAAAAGAGCAGTTTGTGTCTTCTCATTCTGTGAAAAAGTGAATAAAAAGGTTTTTTATCATTCTAATTACAAGAGTACCTATATTCTACATAATATGCTATACTAAAATTTGTTTACTTACATAAAACAAGTCTATTTCAAAATTACGACTGAATAAAGAGATAATATTTTCTAAGTTTTAAAACATTAATGTTCTTACTAATAAAAGTATTCAAGGGGTAAAATATAAGATACAAAAAATAACTAGGTATTGAGAAACAGTGATATTTTATATGTGTGTAATTATTTACATAGCTATGCTATATTCAAAAATACAAGTGTATTTTCTCTCTCGTGAAATGTTGTAAAAACTATTTGCATACCTCATCTATTTAAACATGAAAGGCTCGTGTGTTGCTATGACTCTGGAACTTATGCCACTGGTGTTCAAAATAGTTTAAATCAGTAGCTTTACCCTAGTAAGCAGACTTCTGCTGAGTTTTCACATTAAGCTTCCTAAACTTCCACACTAAAACAGATTAGGAAGAGAGGTCTATCAAGCGATTTCTGAGTATTAGCCAATGAAATCCTCATAGATTACAAAAGATCACTGTTACTTGTGTTGGATACATTATCTGAGGGGATCAAACTGCTATGTGCACACAGGTTTGGTGAAGTAGAAAGTAGAAAGTGTGGGACACCCTCAAGTGAGATGCAGTGGCACAGGAGCCGCAACAATGGACTCAAACGGCTGGCACTTGTGAAGTGGACCAGGGACTGGGTAATATTTCTTTCTATTGTATATAATAAGTTCACCATGAGTCAAGAATTGAACTAACAACTAGTGTAGTATTTCATCATTTTAAAATATGCCTAAACCTTCCATCAGAAGCATCATCTCTGAATTTATAATCCTAGAGACTTATGGATTGTGCTGGAAGAAAATGCACTTCATAAAATACTGCATGGTGTCATCTTTCCCTCAAAACCATTAACCAAAATTAGGAGTTAAAATTCTAAAGAAAAAAAAAACAGAAGGTCCCTTCTTTTGACATACAACAACTACATTAAAGCAATGCAAGAATGCTACAAAACATAGTCAAAAAACATATGTACATGCAAACAAATTCTGTATGCATAGCAACAGGTTTAGAGGTGCTGTGCTTTCACATTCTTGTTTTACAACAGTCTCATCATTTAATGATTCAAAGAGGGAGAAAGGGAGAACCCATCACAAGGTGGGTGAAGGGAGACAACAGACAGTGTAAGACATAAAAAAGCAATAAAAATATATAACTGGTTCAAGGATCCATGAGGGTGGGCGGGGGAAAGAGCTGATACCAAGGGCACAAATGGAAAGGGCACAAAACACTTCCAAAAGTGTTTTGGAAATGTTGATGGCAACATATGCACAAATGTGCTTAATACTACTGAATAGTGGATTGTTATAAGATCTGCAAGAGCCGCACCCCCCCAATAAATAATTCAAAAATGTTTCCATGTCATTTATACCAAACATTTTTTTCCTAAGGGGCTGTATGTCTACCTGAATTACTATAAAGAGAAGACAGGTGGTAAGTGGTGAATGATGGAATTCTGCTGTAACTTTTTGTGCCAGATAGCTCTAAGGTACTTAACTATATAAATAAAAGTATTATAATCACTGAAATATAACAAGAAAAATTTGATAATGTAGCTAAGACCTCAAAATATTCTCTTTGAAAGAAAAATAATTACATTGGCATAAAGATATACATGGAAAGTATATATTGAGAATTATGCACAAATACTACCATATAGTCGAAAGATCATGCTATGTGTGTTTTTCTTATAGAATTAACTATTAAACTTTAAGGATGAATATTAATTCAATGGATATTTTTCAAGCACAAAAATAATCAAGAATCTGAGACTTCATAGCCATATCCATGCTCTAATTTCATCAATATTAAGCTTACCTTTCTTTTCGGTCCAGATTGCTTAAAACATAAAAAAGAAAAAAAAAGTAAGAGGCAAGACCTCATTGTTCCTATATAATTGTAGCTTTAGTAACAGCAGTCAGTTAAGGCATGTGATCAATTTCTTTTAAATATACTATCCACATGCTATATACAATGTTTTAAATCTTGTCAGATATAATACAGTGTTATTAAATTTGTCAATAACAAAAGTTCACATTTAAGCAATCTCATTAAGGCCTAATGGAAAGAAATAAAAATATAGAAAATATGAATTATCTAAAGGCTTTCCCTATAAAGCATTTTAAATGTTTAGTGCTTACTAAATTGTAACTATAAAACATACTAATTTGTTTTTAATGGCTCAAAACCTATTGTCAGGCATGATTTCTTTGCTTTTCAGTAAATACCTCAAAAAATTAATGTACATATTTTTACTGAAAAAGTCTTAAACAAATGGTTTGGTACACAGAAAAGGTCTGAGCTTTGAAATTATGGCCTCTTTTCACAAATCCAAATTATTCAAGCAAAGTTAAAAAGCTATTAGCATCAATTATCTAAGAATAAAATTATATAAGCCCTCAAATTCAGTTTTAAAAATTTATATCCCAAAATCATTTTTTTCTGTATAAATCAACTAAGTAAGCAAAGCTTAATGATAAAAACTCTTGAGTTCACACATTAAAATTTGTATTCTTATGGCACGGAATATACACATTAGTGAACATTTTATTTATTTCTGGTAAACTAAGAAAAAATATATAACTTAATTTTTTATAAGGATAACATACAAAAGAAACCCAGAAAGGTTACCTTTTGTTGTTTAAGATGCAAATAAATCATATAAAATAGCGCTATGTGATATCACAGAAAAACTAGGCTATTTTCTTCCTCTATCGAGTAATTAAATATAATGTATCGTACCCTATATAATTATTTCTTATAAAGCTGTCTTTTTAAGTAAATAAAATGAAAGCCAAGGGTAGGGCATTAAAGTATAATTGCACTACCACGGAGCCCATGCTGACTCTTAGAGACCCTAGTCATTCTCAGTTTTATACTGCTGTGCCCAAGGAGTAAAGAAGAGTTTAAAACACTGAAGGCTTTTTTAAAAAAACAAATATAAAGAGGAATGTGAAGAGGTAGAAGACATAGCACATATAGAAAAGAACAGTTTTAAATTTCTCGATAAATCACGGCATTCCGGAAGTACAGTAAGCAAAAACATATATATTTATACACATATTCATGTTCATTTTTCCTATCCTGAGAAAAATGCATTTACTGTACTATGATACCTAACTTTAAAACAGTAAAATTTATACAAGAATTTTCAAAAGTTTATTATCTTCTTGCCCTAGGGGAATGTTACTTGAAATTTTAAACTTGAAAACAACAACAAAAACAGCCAGCTGATTTAAAAATGAAAAGAAGTCATTATTAGTAATGTAGAACATTTTGTTAAAATGTCAACTTTTAGGCTTTTTCATACAAAGTAGAAAATAAAAAAATTATCCTGAACTAAAGCTATATTCAACTCACTAACGAGTCGATGCTGATTCATAGGGACCCTATCAGAGAGGCTAGAAATGCTCCTGTGCCTTTCCAAGGTTGTAACTCTTTAGAGTAGTAGAAAGCCCTGTTTCTTCTCAAGTGGAGCTAGATGGCGGTTTTGAACTGTGGACCTTGCAGTTAGCAGCCCAATATATAACCACTATGTGACCAATATTCCCCTTAAAGCTGTTACTAGTGTCCTTAAAAATTAAAAAGGAAAAAAAAGAGATCATGGTAAGGAGGAAATATTGGCTGATTTGTGCATATGCAATCTGATTTATGACTAACACTTTTTTCATAATAGTGATTTTTTTCGGTTTTAAATTATAGCTTATTCCAGGAACTCATTTTCCCCTTTTTTGGTTACATATACTTTTGTAGGCTTCTCTTTTACCCTATGGTTCTTAAAGTCTTTACCCTCAACCATAATGAAAGACAACAACATAAAAGGTATATAAAAGAAGCAAAATAAAAATCAGTAAAATGTGTTGTTGTTTTTTTGTTTTAACACATCTGATTAAACTCAGAGGGAAAATAAAGGGGTTATAAAGATTTTTTAATTTCTGAATTTTAGTTTTTCATAGTAATAGTTGTCCATCGCTAAATATAAATATAAGCAACCTGTCTTTTAAATACACATTAAATTAACATCTAGAATAGTGTTAAGGGGAAAGATGGCACTTTTAATTATCTTTCAAATCTCAGGAATCTAATCTTATGCTTTAGCAATCAAACTCAATCAGTGTTTCCCAAAGTGGGCAATACTGCAGCTGGGTGGGGGGCTGGGGGGGGGAGAGCAGTGTTATGTGTTGAAAAATCCAGAAAGGCTGCAAAAGCAGATAACTACACTTTATACTAAACTATGATCTATAGCACAAAATTTCTTAATTGCCTTTGGAGGGAACTGATTTTTTTTTTCCAGAAAGGGGGTGGCAGTCCAAGTAATTTTGGGAACCTATGTTTTAGATAAACAGGGAAAAGTGCTAAATTTAAAAAAGCAAGCTCACTCCCATCAAGTGAATTCTGATTTAAAGACTACTACTTTTTTTTTTTAACTACTACCTTTTACAGGTATAGAAAGCCTCCTCTTTCTGATGAGCTGCTGGTGGTTTCAAATTCTGACCTTGCATTTAGCAGCTCAACTTTAGTCTAGCAGAGCTTGTAAATAATTTGTAAATTATAAATTACAAATTACTCAGAACACAAATCTAATGTACTTAGATGCTAAGTATAGCGCTCACCTAAAAAAGCATGGATTGAGTGCTTACCAAATGGTTTTATTTCCTTTAATCCTGAATAGTTTAAAAAGTTATTGTAAAAGCCAGTGTATTCATTTTTATCTCACATTTGACAATTGCATCAACAATACGCTGAAGTTAGCTACTTAATACCAATCATCTTTGATAAAGGCTGTTCCCACAACTTAAAATTATGTAGTTTCTAGCTACTATGTTCATATCCTCCCCTCTAGTGCTTGCTTTGAGTTCTTCCCTGCTTTCTTCTTTACTTGGTATGGGTCAGTTAAAAAGAGAAGACTCAATAAGGGTTGGCAGTGGCTGCAACACAGTCTCAAACCTAACAGTTAGGAGGATGGCACAGGACCAGGCAGTGTTTCCTTCTATTGGATATATGGTCAGCACTATGACTCAGAACTGAGCCAATGCCTTCCAAAACAATTCTTCTCTACAATATCACTACATAGATAATGTATAGAAGAGGGTTTCACAAAATTCATGGAAGGAAATTATCTTTTCATTCCTTGTTCCACATTTTTGAATCCCCCTTGTATCTCTACTACACTTAACAGGTATTCATTTGTTTACTTGTCTCTCTGTCCTCAACCCTTAGCAAACTTGAAATTCAAAGGCAGAGGGCAGGGGCTTTGATATACTCCTCTTTGAATATTCTACATTTCATCTATATCTATTACGTAGTATAAAACTCAGTCAATATTTTAAGAGTAAGAAAATGGAAAGACTCTCAATAGCTTGTCTTTTAATTTCAAAGTCGTTTCAGTGACAGTTAAGGACAATAGGAATAAGAAATGCTTACTTATTCTTATACAGAAAAACAAACAATAAGTAGACTGTGTTCTGCCGATTGAAAGCTAACGACTGATGATTCTTTTGTGGCTCCAATTGTTGCTGCTAGGTGTCACAGAATCAGTTCAACCCATAGCAAACCCTGTGTACAACAGAGTGAAACACTATCTGAGCCTTCACCATCTTCAAAAGTGTTCCTAAGGCTGAGCCCGTTGTTGCAGCCACTATATAATTGCTCCTATAATTTCATTCAGGACTGTTTCTCTAAATACAAATTATTTCATGAATGAAGTTTTATTTTTAATAAAGAAACAACAATTTACTAGTAAATATTGGTTTCTGATAATTGAACCTAATCCTTTAAACTGACATGTTATGACATACATGCAAGGTATGATAGGTACAGAAGCCTAGAATAAAACAAAATACTGACCAATTTCCAATTTATAATAAGTTTTTTAACTTTGTCCTGAAGGAGAGGAGGGATGGAGGCAGTAAGTCAGTGAAAACAATTACAAACTAATAGAAAATATGAAAAACAACAATAATAATCTTGATTATAAGCTGTAACACTTGACTGCAAATTTTAAATTAATGTTTTACTTTAAGACAACATTTTCAGAATATCAAGTCCATCAATGGACTATCAGTCTGATGAGTAAAAAAGGAAGTATATATGGTTTCCTTTTCTTCCTCTAATTGTGCTCCTTCTATTATTTATTCTCATGTTCGTAAATAAATAAGTCATATAGATTTGTCTTTGTACTTTGGCAATAGGGCAAGTTCATACTTTTTGATATGTGTACCAACTTGTGTTGGTTTATTTAATTTGATTTTTCTCAAATGTCTTGTGTAAAAACTATGACAAAACATTAAATGATAAAAGGTGTTTACATCAATAGCCTGTATTATATCATATCTATATAATTGCAACTCATAGATTTATTTAACCAATCTATGTAATAGCAAGTGTTTTAAAGAGCTAAGACATTTTCTGAAGGCGTAATAGTCTAGTTTGACATTTCTAAACAAGGGCTTAAATTGTAAACTAAATATCTATACTTTATTGAATTGAGTTTTAAAAGCTTTGCCTGTTATTTATAACTTAATAAATAGATCATTTAATTGTTGGAACCCAAGAATTAATAAGTCAATTGAAAGAGAATATAACATTTCCAAAATGGTCCAGCAAAACCTCCTAAGTAGAATAATAAATTTTCCCAAGTGTTACTTTCATTACTTCAAGGTTCTAATGGTGTTTTCAAGAGCATTAAGCACACTCAAATCTATGAAAATTATTGTAATACATAATTCCTTAAAACTGATAATACAATTTAGTTTGATATCATGATAGCCTATAAACTTTACATAGGTAAGGAAGGTATCACTGTCAATGTTTTGAAACCAGCTTCATATAATTATTTTAGACCTGATATATAATGCAATCGAATAGGCTTTTTCATAAAAATTATTCACATACAGATATAGTTTATTTAAAAGCCTGTAGAAAACCGTAATAAAATTCTAAGACAAGAATTATTTCTTAGACATGAATTTCTTCTTACAGATAATAAAAACGTAATGACATTCTGAGAGGTCTGTAAAAGTGAAAATTTCTATTACAATGGATATATGTATATATTAAACAAAAATAATTAGAATCCTTACCTTTGGGCTGCTGTTTTTACCAATGATATCTGTGCATTAGCATGATGAAAACGTCTACCATGAACTACAGTTCCAGAACATAATGGTGCATTTTGTGTATTTTCACTGCAGATACAAGAAACAAACCAAAATTACACAGAAAAATCACATATGCCCAGAATAAATCCCTTAACTTCTGAGCTCAATAGATTTCAATATTTTAAAAAGTTTATTTGTAAATAAACCAAGTTAGCAATATTGAACTGTCCATTAGCTTTCTAATTCTGGGATTTACTTTTGATATGTTTCCATTCCATTTTAAGAAAGAAACAAAGAGAACATTATTTAAAAAAAAGAAAGGAAAAATCGGGAAATCAAATTCCACTTCTGATTCTGCCTCTGACATGAAAGTTACTTCACTCTTATGAACCTTAGGCATCAGTATGATAGGAGAGAAATTAAACAGTGGCTTTCAACTCTTTTGGGAAGATTATAAAAGTTCAATCTAATCAATAATGGTGGTTCACTGTGACAATCATTAGGAGAGATGGGTTATATTTGAAAGAGGAATGAAAAATCCTTAACAGAATTCCCTTGCCGAGATAATCTAAACATCCCCTAATGTAATATGATCACCCATCCTTTGGTGCCTTCTACTATTATAACTGAGATTTTATAAGCTGCATGACAGCTAGTTCATTTAATGGAGTCCGAGACTATTCAAAAATGTCTTACATTTTATTTTACTCAGAACCAAGAAATCACTACAATCAACCCTAGGCCCAAGATTTTAAGCAAAAAAAAAAAAAAAATCACAATTGGGACCATCATATGGGCTTTATTGACAAATTTGACAGAAATAGCAAACTTACCACCATGTAGTCAATTCAGACTCATAATGACCCTGTAAGTTAGGCCTACTGGATAGAAAAGGTGTCAAAACTTTTCTCTTTTCTGTAGGGATGAGTGATGAAGCACATTTACCTCAATTTTTTATTGTTGCTCAACATGTTAAGTCCAATTGGGTTCCCTTTAAAAGTTTTCAAGCTTTCAGTCTTGTTTCGTCTTACATATGTTTTCAAGATTAAATCACCAGAACTAGTAACAATTTCAGATCGACGATTCAACTGTAAAAAGGATATAAATATTAAAGTCGATAAGCAATAATTTATCATTAACTATTTATTCATAAAACTTTAATAAAAATGCATTGGCTACTGGTGCTATGGGAGAAAGCATGGTAATAACATGGACTGAAAAACAACTGTAATATTTTATCTAAGGACAATGAAAATACACAGAAACATGTATATATACATATATATGTATATGTGTGTGTATATATATATAAAATCTCCCCAAAGATATTTAAAACAAAAAAAGGAAAAATAAAGGATGTGAAGGTAGAGGCGATAGGATTCTTTAGAGCAGTGTTTAACCTTCCTAATGCCGCGACCATTTAATACAGTTCCTCATGTTGTAGTGACCCCAACCATAAATTTTCATTGCTACTTTATAACTGTAATTTTGCTACTGTTATAAATCATATAATCCCTGTGAAAGGATCATTTGAACCCCCAAATGGGTCATGACCCACAGGATCAGAACTGCTGCTTTAGAGTGTAAAATAATTTTTTTGGTTTGTTTTTTTAAATCATTTTATTGGGGGCTCACACAACTCTTATCACAATCCATACATACATCCATTGTGTCGAGCACATTTGTACATTTGTTGCCATCATCATTCTCAAAATATTTTCCTACTTGAGCTCTTGGTATCAGCTGATTTTCCCCCTTCCTCCCCCATGAACCCTTGATAATTTATCATTTGTTATTTTTTCAAGTCTTACACTGACCAACGTCTACCTCACTCACTTTTCGGTTGTCCGTCCCCCAGGGAGGGAATTATATGCAGATCATTGTGATTGGTGCCCCCTTGCTTCCCCAACCTTTGCCTTACCCTCCTGGTATCGCTACTCTCATTATTGGTCCTGAGGGTTTATCTTGCCCTGTATTCCCTGTGTTTCCAGTTCTTATCTGTACCAGTGTACATGCTCTGGTCTAGCCAGATTTGTAAGGTAGAATTGGGATTATGATAGTGATGGGGAGGAAGTATTAAAGAACTAGAGGAAAGTTGTTATGTTTCATCAGTGCCATACTGCACCCTTACTGGCTTGTCTCCTCCCCGCAACCCTTCTGTAAGGGGGTGTCCAGTTGCCTACAGATGGGCTGTGGGTCCCCACTCTGCACTCCCCCTCATTCACAATGATATGATATTTTGTTATTTGATGTCTGATACCTCATGCCTTCGACACCTTGCGATCACACAGGCTGGTATACTTCTACGTGGGCTTTCTTGCTTCCAAGCTAGATGGCCGCTTGTTTACCTTCAAGCCTTTAAGACCCCAGACGCTATATCTATCTTTTGATAGCCGGGCAACATCAGCTTTCTTCACCACATTTGCTTATATACCCACCGCTTTGTCTTCAGCGATCGTGTCAGGAAGGTGAGCATCATGGAATTCTAGTTTAATAGAACAAAGTATTCTTGCATTGAGGGAGTACTTGAGTGGAGGCCCAATGTCCATCTGCTACCTTAATACTAAACCTATAAATATATGCACATAAATCTATTTCCCCATCCATACTTGCTTTCTAACATAAAGATTAACACTGGAGCCACCAGACACTGTGCAGGAGAAAGATACAGTAGTTTGGTTCCACATATTTAAGGCTTCAGAAACCCTAAGTGGCAGTTCTACTGTACCCTATAGAACTATGAGTAAATGACAGTATGACTAAATGACAATATGTGGTGGTGGTGGTGTTTACCTCCTCACAATCACCCAAAACATTTAAAAAAATCATTTATCTATGAGGGGGTACCCAAAACAAACCAGAATTTTTTTCAAAGCTATTTAATTTTTTTTTACAAAGCAATCTTTATCACCTTCCAAGTTCTCTCCATCACACTTAATACATTTGTCAAATCTGTGATTCCAGTCTTGAAAACACTTTTCAAACTCATCTGTTTGGATGACTGACAGCACCTCCCTCGTTTTTTTCTTCACCTCTTCTATGTAGTCAAATCGCTGTCCTTTCATGTCCCTCTTCATTCGTGAAAACAAAAAGAAGTCATACAGAGTGAGGTCAGGTAAGTCAGGTGCATGGAGCAAGAGAGGCATGATGTTTTTGTTTTTTTTGAAAACTAGGACACTGATGGCTGCATGAGCAGGTGCATTGTGACAAAACCAGTCCCGTCTACCACAAATCAAGCCTTTTTGGTCACACACTGTTACTGTTTCAGAACTTCTAAATAGAAAGCTTAATTAACAGTCTAACTTGGTGGAATGAATTCCAAATGCATTAGGGGTTGACATTTTTCATACTTTTGGGAAGTTGACAGACTTGGAGAGCGAGGTTTGTCATCAATTGACATTTCATCTTTTTTGAAACAAGAAAACTCTTCATACACTTGAGTTTTCCCCGTAGAGCTATACTTGTAAGCTGTGTTCAACCTCACCACAGTTCCTGTGGGATTTTTCCCAAGCAGGAAACAAAATTTCACAGCCACATGCTGTTCTCTTAAATCGGCCATGATAAAAAACAAAATTAGAGAAAAACTGCTTCTATGAAAAAATTCACTGTGACCAGAGGGAACCTTCCCAGGTGATGCCACTGGGTGCACTAACTCAGATCGAGTTGCTGGAGTCTTGCCCAGCAGGGAAAAATGCAAAGTAAGAAAGCTCTGCTGTGCCAAGTAAAATTCTGGTTTTTGTTGGGTACCCCCTTGTATATCACCCCTGTATAAGGTTTCTAAGACTATAGATCTTTAAGTAAAAAGCTTCATATTTCTCCAGAGGAGAGGCTATTAAGTTTTAACCTATAACCTTGTGGTTAGCACCTAACTCTTAACCAACAGCCACATCGGGGTTCCTAATAAGATGCCTCCACAAAAAAAAACATACACACTGCCACCGAGTCAATTCTGACTCACAGTGACCCTCTGTGCAGGGTAGAACTTTCTTTCTCCTGCAGAACAAGTTGGTGGTTTCAAACTGCTGCATTTGTGGTTAACAGCCAGTGCTAAGATCCAAAAAACAAAAAAACTCACTGCCATCGAGTTGATGCCAACTCATGGTGGCCCTGTTGCAGGGTAGGACTGCCCTTATGAGTTTCTGAGACTAACTCCACAGTAGAAGAAAGCCCTATCTTTTTCCCCTAATAAGGCTCAGGTGTGTGTTATTTTGAAAAAGTGCCTTAGGCCAGTTCCATACACCAGCAGCAGCAGCAGCTAAGGCAGTGGTTCTCAACCTGGGGGTCGAACGACCCTTTCACAGAGTTCACCCGATTCATAACTGTAGCAAAATTAGAGTTATAAAGTAGCAATGAAAATAATTTTATCGTAGGGGGTCACAACATGAGGAACTGTATTAAAGGGTCACAGCACTAGGAAGGCTGAGAACCACTGATCTAGGAGCACTCTTTAAATCTAAATTCTCTGGTCCCACTCCAAAAATATCTGTTGCAGCTGTTCAAGTGGACTGGGGCTGATCCTAGATGGCAGAGTACAATTGTCCCACAGGGTTTCCAAGGTTTTACTATCTTTCTCTCAAGGAGCCAATGGTGGGTTCAAATTGCTAACTTTTGGATTAGCAGCCAGGTGCTGTAATTCTCGTGCTTCCAGGGCTCTGTAAAGCTACTCCAGAGCTCTAAATCAGGGGATTGGGCCCAGCAAGTTTTTAAATCTAACTCTTGAGGTGATTGTGATATATATTAAAGTTTGATAACTATGGTGCTAAATGATACTGATACATACCCTACTAAAAATCTTGCAAGCAAAATTTCCAATATTACAGTTTGAACATGTTGTTTTATTCCCCTACATATAGATAACTTCAATAATCAATATTTATTGAATGCTTATTAAGAATATACAGCTCCAAAAATGAGGAGCTGATGCCAAGGGCTTAAGTGGAGAGCAAAGGTTTTGAGAATGATGCGGGCAATGAACATACAAATGTGCTAAAAAAAAAAAGACTGGCAGAATAGATTTTTTTTAAAAAGAAACATTGTCGTGGAGAGCAAAAGTTTTGAGAATTATGAGGGTAACAAAAACACAAATGTGCTTCATACAACTGATGTATGTATGGATTATGATGAGTTGTATGAGCCCCCAATAAAAATGATTTAGAAAAGAAAGAAAGAAAAGGAAGAAATTAGGTTCTTTTTGCCCTCAAAGATCTCAGCCTTACTGGACAAATGGAACATGGATCTATAAGCAACGGTGGGAAGAAAAAAATACACTGTATTACTGTATTATTTATAATAGCAAAACACTGCTGGAAACTGAATAGCTAATAACTGTTATATCCAATACTGTTTCTTTCTTTTTCTTATCATGGAATTTATTAAACTACAATTTTATGAAATCTCACCAAAACTAGATAAAGAGTATAAGGTCTGGCTCTCTATTCTTTTTTACAACTGCATGAGGGCTTACAATGATCTATCACCATACAATTTTTAATTACAATAAAATATTATGTGAAGTAACATAAAAACAGAATATACAGCATGCTAATTATATGCAATATCAAATTCAATTTCCATTATTTTATACATTCCAGTAGTTCTTCAGGTTGGGATCCAGCAACAGCACCTAAAACACTATATCCATTACTTGAAATTACTGAATTATAGGATTAGCAAACTCAAATTTTCCACTTTAGTTCTCTTTCCTGCACAAAATATTTCCACCATGCATCATTTAAACATGACAATTCTACCCCTATTTTTAAAAGATCACTAAACTTTAAAAGCAAAGTAACTCGTCTAAAAGCAAATGGGATTGGAACAAAGATTAGTCTGATGTTTAAAACCTTAATTTCCCAAGCCACACTACATCAGAAATTTTATATTGCTTACAAAAAAACAAAAGCTTATTCTTGACAAGAAGCAAGAACAAAATAAAACAATTTTGTTATTAGGATATAGAACTCAAAATCAAAGGAACTGTACCGAACATTCTTAAGCATTCTTAAGAATTGCTTAAGCCAAAAGTATCTTCCCAGTCAGTAACAGTTGCTTAACTAGCTAGTTCAGCCATGTTTCTGGTTTGTTTTTT